TATTAGAAGTTAGGTTGCTGAAATTCGTATTTTACGGCGTATAATGAATATTTTGACCATCTTTAAAAGTAGTATTATAGATTATTTGTATTAAAGAGTACATTGAGCTATTTATTAATAATCTTTAAATGGAGAAAATCAAAAAAACATTTCTTAAAATGTAATTAGATATTTGATGGTAAAACAATGTAAAAAATAGGGTTTAAATAGTTTTCACTTCATTTTAAAAGTAAAAGTACTTAAGGAGGTCAATACAAAATATTTTAGTAATAGTAATAGTAATATATTAAAATAAGTCTTTATAGATTACATGACAAATAAATAAAAAAACAATCCAATAAACAGATTAAAAAAACAAAAGCATTAATTTATTATTATTATTATTATTATTTTTTTTTTTTATTATTTTTTTTTTTTTTGCTTTCGTTTAATTACATTAAATAAATTTTATGAACTGATTTTAAATTATCCGTTAAGTCGTTTATGTAGATGATGAATAATGTTGGACCAAGTACAGACCCTTGTGGAACTCCGCTTAAAACATCGGTCCAGTCGCTAGAGTGATTACCTAAAACTGTTCGTTGTTTTCTGCTAGTCAAAAATGATTCAATCCATTTGCCAACATTACCATTGATCCCATATGCTTTCAATTTATGTATTAGTCTACGATGAAAAACTTTATCAAACGCTTTTGCAAAGTCCAAAAATGCAATATCGACAAAATTTCTTTTGCTTAACGCTTTCGTAATGTAGTCGATACTTTCCAATAAGTTAGACGTGCATCCCTTTTTGGACATAAATCCATGTTGATTATTTGAGATGGAGCTCGTTTTTTCAAGATATTTAGTTATCTGTTCCTTGATAATCTTTTCCATTACTTTACATGGAACTGAAGTGATAGACACTGGTCTGTAATTAGCGGCATCAAGACGACTCCTTTTTTAAACAATGGTGTAACATGTGACTGCTTCCAGGCTAAAGGTGTTGAGCCTTCAGACAGTGCTTTATTGTAAATTAATGTTAGAGGGTAAGTCATTTGAGCTGCACATTCTTTAAGTACCTTTGGACTAATGTTATCAACACCAATAGATTTGTTCGGATTCAAACCATTCAAATAGGCTAGCGTTGCTTCAAAACTTATTATTACATCGCCTAAGTCTTCTTGATTATGTCTTCTCTCAAAAACCGGTAACTGATCATTTATGCTATCATCAACAAAAACTGATTTAAAGTGTTCGTTAAGTTTGTTTGCGATATGTATTGCCTCTGTTAACGTTTCACCTTTTGCATCTGATATAGCGCCAATAGATACATGTACGTTCTGTTGCGCTTTAGCATAAGCATACATTCTTTTTGGATTATTTTTATCTGATGCCAGTTGGGCTTCAAATACTCGAACACGTTGTGTACATGCTTTCTGAACTTGGCTTCTTAGTTTCTTATATTCACAAATGAGGGTCGATGATCCCCAGTTTGTCATAGATAAGTAATTGCCCAATTGTTGTTTTTTCTTTATCATAGCTAATACTTACTTATTCATCCACGGTGCATTACGAGTAGAATGGACTTTTTTTAACGGCATGAATTGCTTGCTGAGTTTATCATATTTATTGCAGAAAAGTTCATAGCATTCGTTAGTGTTTTTATTTTCAAATAACTGCTGCCAGTTAGTTTCCATAATCTTTTTACCGAAGTTTTTATAGTCACTCTTATTAAAATCATATTTTTTGTTTGAGAAAGTTGTCCTATTTTTAGAGAGGACGACATAATCCCAACTCAATATGCGATGACCTTGTGACAAATCACCTAACGGCATAGAGCTAGATAAATTGATTACTCTAGTTAAAGAGCCTGTAATAATCAAATCCAAAACATTTTTTGCATTTCCATTAGATGCTTCGAAGGTTGAGAAATCAACTAATTGTTCTAGATTATGATTAGCCAAAGTTACAAAAAAAACACTTGCAGCACTATTTTGACCGCTTAGTAATTCAATTCTTTCGTCATTATGCCATTTAATATCCGGAAAGTTGAAATCATCTGCTAATAACATACAACTATACGCTTTTCTATCAACAGCTTGCTTAGCTGAAATAATTGTTTTATTTATATCATCTATATGGGATAAAGGTGGTCTATAGACACAGCCAATAAGAATCATTTCGTTAACGATTTTAATTTCGCACCATATTTGCTCGGAGTTGCTGTTGTTTAAAGTCTCTCTTAGATGACAATCAGATACCTCATGCGCAACTAGATCACGCTTAATGTAGATAGCAACCCCTCCACCGTGACCTATTCTATTTTTTTTCACTAGTGAATAGTTATTTAATTGAGTGGCAGATGTTTCAGTAAACCATGTCTCAGAAATAAAGATTAAATCAGGCAAGTTTATATCACAGAGTGCAGATAACTCGTTCATTTTAGTCGGATTAAGAGAAGTTGCGTTAGTATAAAAATATTTTAAAAGTTTATTTTTAGGGTTAGATTTAGCAGATTTTATTTTTGTATTTAATGCATTTAAATAAGTATTCGCAGTTAAACGATTTGATTCATTGTGTTTTAGCAATTCTGGCTGTTTGTGCATATTTCCATTTGATGAAAGGATGCTTTTTACGTCCATTGATTTCAACTTCCTGCGAGACATCAATGCATTGCAATTTATCGCTGCGGATGACAAATCTAAAGGGTTTGTCAAGTTTTCCAAGCTTGTCAAGGTCAGAATTAGCTGCTTTTCTTTCTAAGTTTAATTTAATAAATTCGCTTTGCTCTGCTGCTGCGCTGTCGGGGCGTATAAATATATCTTTAAAAGTACCCGATGCCAGTTGTTTAGCCGATGCTAGAACGTCATTTCTGATAAATACTGAATCAACTTCAATCATAAGAGGAGCGGGTTTACTAGAATCAAAGTTCTTTTTTTTTTTTGAAACGTTTAATTCTAACTACATTGACTGATTTACTTAAAGATGCCATAACCTTCTTGAATTCCGCGGTATCATCTTTGGTTATCTCGCTTGGTTGAGTTTTAACAGATTCTGGTAGACCAAACACTACAATTCTCTTTTCTCTGTTAGTCACGTCCTTGTTATGCTTATTGAGGGCGCTCACTACAGCTACGTTTGCTAATGTACCGGGTTTGCCGACTTGTTCAACTAATTTAGATAACAAAGGTTTTTCACTACTTTTACTATCTTTTAAAGACTTTATTTCAATATCCTGCAGATCAATTCTTTTAGTAAGTTCGTCAATTCTGGCGGTAAGTGTTTTAATTACATAAAGAGTTTGTTTCAGCTCATCTTTGGCAATTTTATCAGCGTTTTCAAGAGCATCATTAAGCTGTTTTTGCGTTACCATTATTAGCAATTAACAGTGGAAGTGATTTTAAGGTTTATAGGTTATAAACGAATTTAAAGTTATAAATGAATTGCTTTTAACTCGATAAATCCTCAGAAATAATTTATATCGTGAAGTTTAAATATTAGTAAAAAAAAAAATGTAAATATCTTATTACACAGGGAATAAAAAGTTTGTAATACGTGTTTATGTGTTTACATATAACAATAGTTTTTCCGTATATAATTATATAATATATATATTAATAATAATTGTTATACAGAAAAAGTAGATCTACTTTTTTTTAATTTTACTAACTGGTAGGCCTTTGACCAGGTTTTGCGATTTTTTTTTTGGCAGCAGTTTATACCTTAGGAAATGTTGGTATATTTAAGCGAAGCATACATGGCCGTCAACGCGGGGGAGGCTAGGGGGTCATGTCCTTCTCTACTTTTTTTTGCGACGACCTTTTGTTTTAGAAATATAGGCAATTATTTTAGAAATTATGGATTTTATTTTAGAAATTGAGGGGTTGACCACCTCCACTTTAAAGGCCGTGTCGACACTATTATTTAAATCACGCTTTAAGTAGAGAATCACTATTTTGGTCTATAAAATGAAAAATCTACATGTACCGATAAAATAATTATAACAAAAATTGTTAGTATTACATAGTAGAACACTCATGTAACCATTATTTTAAAAATAGTAACCGAATTTCAAAGTAATCGTTAACGTTTTGAGGTATAAGTAGCAAAAAACTGACAAAACTTCAACTAAAACTGCAATAAATCCTACACCATCATCCAATCAGGCTGAAACTTTGTCCAGAGTTTGGTGTGACTATTGGCACCAATTTTTATCAAATTATATTGAGTGTTTCAAATTTCCAAGTGTTTTTATTGGCGCACTATGTCAAAATTGGACTTAATTTGAACATTGAAATTAAATTATTTTCCGAGGACAAAATTAAATGATTTCAAAATTTGCATCACAGGGTACCTTGATGTGTACACTAACTTTCCGTTTAAGTTGCGTTCTTGGGACAGCTAGGTAAGAATTATAATACTAACCGTGTCACACTACAAAAATATTGCATTGTTAAACATTTTTTTCCGAATAGAAGTCAGGTATTTTTATATCTTTAATCGGTTTATATTATAAACTTGATTAATCCCTTTAAACTTTAAATGAACATAAAAAAAGTGTTACGCAAAAACGAAACAATTATTTCTTCTTCTAAATATTATAAAGGTTTTTTGTAAAACATGGAAAAGGGAAAAAAGAATAAAAAAGAAGAGAAGATTGATTTATAAAGAATAACTAAAAAATGGCTAAGCAGATTCAAAAAAATAATTTGTTATTTTCAAACCTTAGTTAACATGATTGTTATTTTCAAACCTTAGTTAACATGATTGTTATTTTCAAACCTTAGTTAACATGATTGTTATTTTCAAACCTTAGTTAACATGATTGTTATTTTCAAACCTTAGTTAACATGATTGTTATAGGCTTTGCAAAGCAAAAATCGCCATTATTTAAAAGTAAAATTTACTTTAATTTAAAAGTAAAATTCAACTTAATTCAAAAATTGCATTTATTTAAATCATTTAAAATTTAACAAACCAATTTAAAAATAACCACTGAAGATAAAAATAAACATGAAATAAAAATAGACTGAAAATTCGTTGTCAAAAAATAATTTTTTTATATTTATCAGCCAATAGCAGAAATCATTACATCGCAAACGATCGGATCTGTACTTCTTACACTTAAATGCATCTGAACTCCATCTCGAAGAATCAATTTTGCACGAACCAATACATCAACACCATTTCGGTATACCCCAGCTAGAAGTAACGTATGAGAATTCTTATCAGTCGATATCCGATCTGAACGTTCACACGGTTGAAGACCAATAAACTGATTAATTTTAGTGACGGCTTCTACAAATTACAAATATAAAAGCAATTATAATATTTAAATAAATTCTATAATATTCATAATTTTATAAATTCTTAAAAATGAAGAATAATAAAATTTTTATTATTCTTCATTTTTAGAATTTTATTAAGTTTATTATTATTAGAAGAGTTTTATTAACAAGAGATAAAAAAAAAAATTATTTTGGGATAGGTAAATTTTATTTAAAAATAATCTCACCTTCTAAACTGGTCATTTCGCTAAGAGCAAATGTTTCCTCCTTTTGATTATCTTCTCCAATCTCATCCCATGATGCTGAAAAGTTTGTTCTTACAACTCCTTGAACATGGTCAGCTACAACAAGCTCTACGTCTTCTAGCTAAATTTATTTTTCATCAATTAAATAATTTTACAGAGATACAATTAAAGCATTGAGCAAAAAAAATAAAATCTCACTTTTTACCCTAAATCAGAGATATTACTCTAAATCATATAGATAAAATCTCACTTTTTACCCTAAATCAGAGATATTACTCTAAATCATATAGATAAAATCTCACTTTTTACCCATCAGAGATATTACTCTAAATCACATAGATAAAATCATTTTTCTATGCTTTAAGTCAGGCAGCATTTGTTGCACTGCATGGAATTAAAGTTTCAAGACCAAAAAAATGGGTTCTATATTTTCCTATAACTCTTACTTATGGCAATGAATAAACTATTTATACATAAAAATCCTAACTTTTAAAAAAGTTCTTATCCCAAGCCATAGCTCAATGCACTTTAATAGAAATTTTGGCCAAATATAGTATAAAAAAGTTTAAAAGATAACATATGTAAAGAAACATTTTCCTGTTATTTATGTTGTTATTTTAGAACATTCACTAAAGAATAACATAATGGATGATGGAACCTCATAGTCTTTAATTTCACTAGACCTATTCCTAAATCCTATTAAGGCGACCAGTTAGTTCAGAGGAGCTACTTTTAAAAGGAAGCCAAAACCTTTAATGAGGTCCTGTCTTTTAGATAAGGTTCAAAACTTGCATTGTAAATGTTTAATTTTTTATTTAATTTGACCATTTTTATCAAGCATTTCAGTTTTATTTGTTTCTAGAAAAAGTTTTAAATTTTTAAGTAACCAATTCATCAATGTCTGATTTTTACTTTGGGTACGCACTGGTGCCAATCTATTATCTTCTAGCACTTTAAACACTAGAATAACCAATTCAGCAAGTAGCATGCTGTAAATTTATAGATATTTGAGAAGTTTTTACTTGAATAACAATTACTCAATATCAAAATTTGATATCTACATATGATTGCTGCATTTGAAGACACAGCAGGTAAAGTACAAAATTAGACCTAAGAACAAACAGATAACTCAATAAAACTTAGTCAGGATTATGAAAAGCAGAGATTGCTTAAAACCTTACTTCATTCTGTAAGATCATCAAAAACTAACTTTTTAATAAATAATCTAGTCATTATTTATATCTGAATAGCTTTAAATGATTATCAATACTTCTGTTAAGACTATTGTTGTTATTGTCATTAATAATTTGGATCGAGCTACCTATGCTTTGAAAAAATTTTTACTTTTTAAAATCAAAATCCAGTTTTTTCTTATTATATAAATGTTTAAAGGGTGTAAAATAAATATTTTTAAAATATTGTTTTATTAACCACCCTAGTGTATCATTGAAATAACAAATGACAATTAAATGACAAGGAGAACATTGTCATTAAATTTGTTAACTTATGTGACTTGGCTTGTGATGCAACTGACTTATAAAAACTTATAAAGAAGAAGGGAGGATGACAAAACTTACCACATATTCATCATCATAACCTTCGTCATCGTCTGGTTCTCCAGTGTTTGGGTCACAATCTTTAACATTGAACTTTAAAGTACAAGTAAATGATGCTGTTACTATAAAATTAAAAAAATAAATAAATATAAAAGATGCACTATAAAATTCAAGACAGTAAAGTCTGACACTAAAAAATAAAAGATAACTATAAAGTAAAAAAATGACACTATAAGGCTCAAGATATTGATGGTGTCACTAAAAAGTACAAGATAATGATGCTGTCACTAAAAAGTACAAGATAATAATGCTGTTACTAAAAAGTACATGATAATGATTTTGTCACTAAAAAAAAAATGATAACGATGCTGTCACTAAGAAAGCTAAAAAACATGAAAATTAATCCTATATATGAAAAAAAAAAAAAAATTAAATTCAACCTGATGAAAGATCTTCTGAATACTGCACACAAGTATAAGTAGTTCCTGGAGTTCCATAAACAAGTTTCTTACATGGTATCATAGCAACAACAGAAACATCGTCACTTGTCTCCATATTCACTGTAACATTCTCAAGGATTTGATCATTTAATGTATTTGTACAATTAAACTAAATACCAAAAGATATAACTTTGATGCATATAACAAAAAAAAATAAATCCAAAATATTAAAATTGATAATTAAATACAAAAAGCAGTACAAAAAAAAAAATGAATAAAAAAAAATTACCTGAAAAACAATATGGTTAGCAAATGTATGCTTAATACAACTGACAACGTATTCAGTTTCACTTTCAGTCAACTGCAGTGCTTTCTGGGAAGACTTAAACAATGGACCATAAACAGCAAGTTCAGGAATAGCTGAGAGTTGCTCTTAAAATAATAAATAGTGGTAAAAAAATAATTTAGAACTAATATAAAACATTTAAAAAAAAAAACATAATTATTCACTGTACAACTATTACCGGCATAAACATCTTGTCGTGTAGCAGTTTGAACAGAAGCTCTTTGCATAACTGTATTAACTGTTGGTTCGCCAGCTTCGAAAAAAAAAATTAAATTATGCAAATTATGTAAAAATTTATGTCTCAAAAATTAAGTAAAACTAAAAGTCAACATGTCTCAAAAATTAAGTAAAACTAAAAGGTTAAACCAAAATAATTACTTGTTTTAATGCTCTTTTGCTCATGTAGAGGTACAGTTGTCAATGGAACAATTTTCATATCAAATGGTGTGCTTGTTGGCTCCTTAAGGTATGCTGCTAAGGCTCGTTCCAAACCAACAACTGATACATTTAATGCTGTTTAAAGAAATTTTTTTATTGATAAGTTAAATGGTTATCTACCTAATATTCTTGCAGAGTATAAACGAAGCCATTAAGTAATCAGCAAACTGAGTTCATAAACTTGCATAATTTCTTGTAAAATTATACAAAAAACTAAAATAATTTCTTGTAAAATTATGCAAAAAACACAAGATCTTCTATATCAATATATAATACTATTTAGGTCAGTTTAATTCAGTCAGGTTTAGGTCAGCAAAGAGTGGGCACATTTGTATAAGCTATAGAGTATACATAAAAAATTGCATCTTTAGTTAAGCAATATGACATTATAGGTAATATATAGTTATAATAGGTATATATAGTTGTAAGGGATTCAGTATATACATCAACTGAAAATCTAGGTAGTACATGCAAGGGAGTGTTGCTACATCAACTAAAGGTTTGGGATGGGGTAGCAATTGCTTTTTCCATCATTCTTTGTTTATTTTTTCTTTTTTTCCAAAAATACCATATGGACTTAGCAAAAAAGTCTGCAAATGTACAGTGGGCAACAATATAAAGGGCACACATGACCAGCTGTTTTACCTTTTTGATACCAAACTTTATGTTTTCAAATTTAGTATCAAAACTGTTAAAATTAATTGTTTTGATCATTGTAGTGATAGTATTTACATTTTTGCAGGATAAAAGAAAATTATTCTTTTGAGTATTTTAAGGATACTTTTGTATTTCATCATCTATCAACTATGGGACATAATAAACATGGAACAGATATATATATATATATATATATATATATATATATATATATATATATATATATATATATATATATATATATATATATATATATATATATGTATATATATATATATATATATATATATATATATATATATATATATATATATATATATATATATATATATATATATATATATATATATATATATATATATATATATATATATATACACACACACACACAAACACATACATATACACTATAAGGTATATAGATCAGCAAATGCTTACTAGTTTTGCTCTTATAGAATACAGCTTTTTTATAAAAAGAAAAAATTAAGAATAATGAAAGAAAAGATTGCTGTTCCATCCCAAAGCCTCAGTTGATGTAGCAGGACTCTTTTGTGGCAGCAGGCTATAAGGTTGTAGATGTATGTACTGAAGCCCCCAGCAACAGACTATTTCAATGTGATGTCACAGTGCTCATGTAAACATGTAGTGTGTGTGTGCGCACATGTGTGAATGTATTCAATGCAGTCAATAAATATTTCATGCATTCAAAAAGGACAATACTGTATTAGAAAGTAAAAAATGCTTAAATAAAAACATACAGTTTAATATGTAACCAGATGTTAACTGCTTATCTTGTTTGTTAAGTATATGATAATAAAATGCAGCACGGTCTCGTACTTCATCATCTGTATCCATCATGCATCTAATATTTTATTTTTGATGATGAATACAAATTATGCTTTAAAAAAAAAAAAAAACAATTTGTATAACAAATTAAAAAAACTTAAAAACCTTGAAAGTAGCACTAAAATACTTGGTAGTAAGCTATCACAATGTGCACCAAATTTTGCCAATGATGTCACAGCAGCTAAAGAAATTTAATTTTAATTAAAAAATAATAATATTGATTTGCCAAATACTTCTGAAATTTAATTTTTTAAAAACATTTAAAGGAATAATTAACACTAAATCACAAATTACTTTTTATATAGTTATTTTATAAGAAAATGATTGACAGAGGACTGAGGATTAAGCCTTGACGCACTTGCAAAGATATATCATTTAACAAAAGTATAATTCTTTTCCAGCACATTAGAATTAATTTTGTTATAGCCTGACTGGTTTTAATACAGCAGCCACAGATTTCACTACCGGGTATTTTATTTGCAAACTTTGCATTTAACAATTTTTTAAAACACATCATTTTATGTTGTATTTTATTGTGAATGTATACACTATGTGACCATTGTTACCAACCTATTGTACAACAATACCAGAAAAACTTTCTCAAAAACTTTTTAAAACACTTTTTTGCAGACCTCTATTGAAGTTAAATTTTAAATATATATAAAAGTTAAAATTTAACTGATCAAGGCCATACAACATATATACCAACAACTGATATACAAATGACATACATTTTTAACAAGATCACTACTAGGATGATGCTAAAAACATTTTTCAACAACATAACAAAAATAATTCAAAATATTTAAAGGTGTCAGTCTAAAAAGAGCAAAATTATACAAAAATTTCCAAAATAATAATCAAATTTTATATAAATATCTTAAAAAAAATATTAAAAAATAAAAAAGGGTGAAAAAAATTAATTTTCTTATTTTATTTTATTTCAGAAAAACCATAGTTTTATGCAATAAAGTCTAAAATAATTATTTTTATATAAAATAATTACAATTTTTAAAATTTTTAATTTTTAATTTCTCTTTAATTGAGAATCTGTCAGGGATGTTACATCACTAAAAATATCTTTTTTAAAAAGATTTTTTTTTAAATTTGATTTTATTATAAAACGCACCATAGAGGATTTAATAAGTGATTTTTAAAAGTGTTGTCTAAACTACAACCCTAAAATTGAAGATTTGCAACTTACCAGCACGAACTTCAGCATTTTCCAATATCACACGATTATAAATAAATCTAATATATTTAGATGGTGATGGTGTTCTTGGTCCTTCTTGACCTAACAAATAGAGAATTTTTGTAGATAAAGATGTATGTTCACAATCTTCTATAAACTCGCAGAGATGACCTAATCCAGACTCCTTGGCATCACTATTTTCTTCTATAATAGCTACAATTGCATCTACAATAGCTTTCTTATAGTCGAAACCTCCCTAAAATAAAATTGCATCTACAATAGCTTTCTTACAGTCAAAATCTCCTTAAAAAAACATTGTTTTACAATGTGTTATAAAAGTATACAAACTATGACAAATAAATAAAACAAACTTACATCCTCTCTTAGCATAGTAGAAAGAAAAGTCATCATAACCAAATGTTTTCTAGGGAACTTCAAACATAATGCTCTAAAACAACAATGTTAGAGAACATTTAAAATTTAAAATAATTTACACTGCTAAAACATTTATCGATTTCAAAAAAAAAAAAAATTTGAAAATACCTTATAGCATCTACAACAACAATTTTAAATTCATCAGAAATCTCAGACATAAAAGATGAAATTTGTTTCATCAGCCTATCAACACTGTTTTCACTTCCAGTCTAAATAGCAAGATTTTGTATTTTTAAAAATATATTGTTTTGTTAGTTTAATCATAAAAAAAAAAGGTTCAACTAAATTACTATATAAATATTTTCTATAAACCTTTTCTATAGCATCAAAATTATTTTTGATTTTTTTTTTTTTTTTTTGTTCTTTTTTGACATTAAAAAAACAAAAAAGAGAATTTAAAATCATTTTTATTTAAACATAAAAATTACTACAAATAAGATATACTTTACAAAATTCTTTCATAAATTCACAAATAAAAAACTTCTTTACCTTAAGCAATGTAGTTATAGCCAGTGTTGCAATACTTCGATTTACATCTGTTATTAAATTTTCCAGATCCAAATTACATGTCATAACAGACTGTGGTTGCAAAATAGCCACTTTATTTAATGTACGAACAGCAGCAAAACGCAATGTTGGCCTTGGCGAACTTAAAAACAGCTGCAAAACTGAAACATTATTATTATTATTACAACTATTATAAAATTATGAAACAAAAAATGAAATAATATCATGAAACTAATTAATATTATAAAACAAAGTTTGATGGAGATGAAGTTTATACAACATATATCCAAAATAAATACAAAATAGTTCTATAAACAATCACTAAACATGCACAGTTTTTTTATGCTATAATAAAGTCTAACATAATTGAAATATAATTAAAGAAATTTTCAAGTTATGTGGCGACAATATAAATGTTTTTACCTGATACGGCAGGTTGCAAATCTTTAGTTTTTATATTTTTTAAATTAACAAGAGCCCTAGCTGCTTCATAAATCACCAACTCGCTCTTTTGGCGCAAACAACTCTCTAAGAAATCATATAAGGCTGCATTTTCTGTGCTAAAATATAAAGAATTTCCCAATATATTTTTATAATATTGTATTAAATTTCAACCTGTTGTAAAAATTTTTTTTTAATTTACATTAAAGTAAAAAAATTATAAAAAAATTTAGAAAATTATACTTCATTTTTTATTCATATTATTAGCTTTCTTATAAAACAATATTTTTTGTATAAAAGAAAAACCTTTCCGGATCTTCATCAATATATTTTGCAGCTATTCTCACCAACAAACAATAAGCATAAGGAGACTTTAGAGTTTGTCGGGATAATTTAGTAATTAATTTAGACACAGCAAGTTTATCATTCTGCTTCACATGGTACAATAATCCAAGACCATGATACTAAAGTTAATTATAATTATTTTAATCTAGTTAATCTATATGTATTTATTTTCTAATTGATGTTATAATAATAACAAGGAAAATGAAAGATTTCTTTTTTAATATTTTCGCTTACTTGAACCATAACATTATCATTACTGACTGCTTCTTGTGCCTCATTGACCCAACGCTTCACAACATCAAAGTTTGGTTTTAGAAGATGCTTTAAATAGTGAAAAAAAAAATTAATTAGAAATTAAAATTAAAGTTTTTTTAAATCATAATCCTGTTAAACTTTAAAATTAAAAAAAAAAAAAATGTCTAGAGCACTCTTTGTTTTTATTGGATAAATTTAAAAAAATATCTTACTAAAGATGATACAAGCGAAGCACTCGATACTGATGCATTTCTATCAACAATTGCTTGTTTCATATATCTTTCAATACCAGTTAGCATTTGAGAATCTGTTATTTTGCAAAGTGCTCTAATGGCACTTGCCCTAAACATGTCTTCTTTACCAGTCATGTCTTTAGTTAAGCTGCTTGTAACTATAATAACATCTTCAGCAATATTAGCTAATTCTTTTATAGCAAGGTAGCACATTCGTCGCAATGTAATCTATTTTAAAAACAAAAATTTTTATTTATTTATTTACCTAATAAAATTCCTAGAGGTCACTATAACTTATCTGTGCTTATTTTTTTTAGCTTATTCTTTCATAAAATAAAACATATGATAACAAAAAATAATAATAAATAACGTGGTTAAAAAAATGAAAAAGTTAATAACTAAGCAAATGTTTTCAGAGCTCGAATTAAGTGTATTATGATTGCATTTGCTTTTTGCACTTATGCGATATGTTTTTTTTTTTAAATAGTACTTTCGTGATTTGTTTTTTTACTTTACTTTTTATCTTTTCTAATTTAGCTTTTTTTTTGGCTATTCTTTAAAGAATAGAACATTTTATTAGGAGTCATTAAGTGTGGAGTGAATTTTAATCTCCGTGTAAGACCTTAAATCTTAGTTGAAAATAAAAACAACCAGTTAAGCTACTACAGTTAAGTTACTCAACTGATAAATTCACTTTATACACTCAAAGACTTGCAAATGTTTGTCATATAAATTTTTTTATTTATATCTTATAATCAAGTTTCTAACTAAAACTTATTTTGACAAGAAATTTCGAATAGAATATGAAAAATGCAATACCATTTTTTTTATATTTTTATTTTATTTATAGATCAAACATTTTTTATAAATACATAAGTTGTTTTATTAGAATTTATTTTAAAAAGAAATATATTTGAACAAGAGATTTTAAGAAAAATAAAATTCTTGTTCAAATAATCTTGAATTTAAAAAATAAATTTGAAAAATTAAAAAGAACTTTAACGCTTGGCAACAATAACTATGAATTTAATTGATTGGAAACTGCAGCGACATCTGTAATACCCAGTGACATAGCAAGGATCATTCCTGAAAGTCAAACATAGATCTAGCTACAGTAACAATATCAGATTTAGAAAATAACGCATAGGAGGAAGAAAGTTTTATTCAAATTGTAAACAATTTGAACAGTTAAATATTTTTTTGTAAAGGCATCATTTTTTATTTTGTTCCTTGAAAACAGTTTAAAAAGTTGAAATATTCTATTGCAAACATTAAACCAGTGATAAAGAGTAACAAAATTAAATTATAAAAAAGTTAAATTAGAAAAAATAAATTATATTACTTCTGTTCAAAATATTTTTTTTCCAAAAAAAAATGTAAGCATATACACTTACTTAAATGTAAGCATATACACTTGCATATAAACTTACAGAAATATAATTCAAATTATTTATTAAATATTTATTAAACCATATTTTTTTCTCTCACTTTATTTTATTGAAAAACCCTTTAAATAAAAAAATTAAATATACTTAAATTTTTAATAATACGCTAAATCAAGAAGCAAAAAATCATGGTATTTAATAAGTTAAAAACTTTATGAAGTTTACTTATTGTTTTTTTTTTATTTATTTAATCTTACTCATTTGGTCTATAGATAGAGCATGTTTTTGTACAAATATGAAGTTTAAAGTTTTATAATGATATTACTTTTATTTATTAATTAGAACAATTCTGTTTATTTCCTTATTTTAAACAAGTTTTATGTTATTAATGTTATAAACTGTATAAAACAGCAATATAACAACAAGACCAAATATAGGTTTTTATATTGTCAAAACAACTTTGCAGTAAAAATATAGGTCTTTATATTGACAAAATATAGGTCTTTTTATTGACAAAAAAACTTTTCAGTAGAAATATAGGTCTTTATATTGACAAAATATAGGTCTTTATATTGACAAAAAAACTTTGCTTTTTATTGCAGTTTTCTAGTATTGTTGTTGTACAACTTTATACAATAACAATTTAATACGCTTTAAAAATAAAAGTTTTCATCAGCATAAACTATTAAATAGTTTTCTATAACTGTTTAAAGTGGTTAAAATACTAAAATATTTGCTTTTTTTACTTTCATTATTTTCGAACTATTATGTTAAATAAAGGAAATTAAAAAAGTAATATATTAATAGTATTGAATGTTACTTGCTCATTATAACAGTAATTTACTTACTAGTTACTTGCACAAGCTTTAAATTATAACTTAAGCTGTACTACTGTTATAACAGTAACTTAGGCTATTTTAAACCCTGCCAAACAAGAAAAATTTAAGTTATTATTCAAATACAAGAGATATTATGTTTAAAAAATTGCAATTACGATTAATGTATAAAAAATACAATTTGGTACTAACGCAACCCCTTTTACCACAATGCAGTGCTAGATTTAAGGGATTTTTTTGCGTTAATTCGGGTCATGGTTTTATATAAGAAATGTATGAGAAATCTTAAAACTTGCTTGAAATGACTTGAATTTATTTTTGTAGGACATTTAATTTTTTTCATGTTATAAGCATCACATAGAAAATGACACGATTAAGAAAAGCAATTATGCCTTCTCAAAAAAGTGTAAGTTATTCATTAGAACATTTATTAATTAAAATATTTGTATAATACTTTGAATTATGTAGCAACTAAATTAATATTAATCTAAATGACAATTAAAACTCACATCTTTGGATTGAAACAACTTTGTCATTGCAAAAAATGTTTCAGTTGCTTCCGTTGTTCCAAATTGCACTCCCTAAAATAATAAAGCAGAATCAGAAAAAACAAACAACCCTCAGAATTAGGAAAAATGAGGTCGGCAATAATTTGCCAACCTCAATCTTTTAGAGGTCGGCATCAGGTTGGCAAAAATAAGTTGATACAAAGGTCTTACCATAAAACATAGAAATAGGGTCAGCAATATTTTGCCAACCTTAAAAACATTCAGGACAGCAGTTAGGTCGGCATTGCCAAATACCGACCCTAATTCTGAGGGTTAAACATAATAATTCAATTATTATTAATAAATTAAAAAACTTGCAAAAATATGTGACTAACTTATAAATAAACTAAAAAATGATTCAAAATAGTTTTAATAAAACAGTTTTTTTTTTAATTGTTTACAACTATAATAATAAAATTTTTAGAAGAATTTTGAAAGAATTTATTATTTTTTTAGAATAATAATTTCTTTATTTTTATTTTTCATCTTTAAGATGAAAAATAAAAATAAAGAACAAAGATAAAGAATAAAGATGAAATTTTTCATATTCTTTTAATATTCTTAAAATAACTAAAAAATAATGTATATAATACTAAGATAAAAATAATAACTTTAATGCTAACATAAAAAAATATTAACTATAAAACCAATATAAAAAATAATATCTATAATAGTTATATTTAAAAAAAAAACTATATACTATATAAACTAAAATATAACTATAACTATAGTTACTAAAAAACAAAAATGTTGCACTGCAAAAAAAATTTGTCCATATAATATTACTTGTCTTGAGTTAAAATTCATAAAAAGATATTATAGTTTATAGAACCTTAAAGCTTTTCCTTCTGAAGTTTGAACTTAAACATCATAGAATTTTCATACCAAATAAACTTAAATCAAGCCTGGACAGGAATGATGAGCGATCGCATGGTGTAACTGACCACGCTTATGATTTTTTTTTTTTACAATTTGACTATGGCTGTTTTAATGTTTTAACAATTTAAATGCAATTAAAAAAATCGTTATATTATGAATAACTTTTAATCGTTGATCTTTTATGTTTTTATTTTACATGAAGGCTTTAAATAAATTAAAAATTAATTATAATGATCATAATTAGATATAATGAATCATAGTTTAAAATAAACACTGTTTTGTTTAAATTAAAGCCATATTTAATTTTTTTTTAGTAACATGTATTTTATAATTAATTTAAACATTATTTTTCAAGGTCTTATACAATTTTTTAAGAAATTATTTTTCAAGGTCTTACTAAAAATCTTTTAAAAAATTATTTTTTTAAGATACTTTAAATTATGAATAAGTTAAATTAAAATCTTCTCGTTGCAATGCAATAACTTAACTTGTTTTTTTTTAGTTTGTTTCTGCTTTTACAAAGAATTGTTTAAAAGCCTTTTTTTTTAAACTTGACTTACTAATGAAATGATTAAAAATTACTATTTTAAAAAAAAACTGTTATTATTTTAAAAAAATTTTTGTGCAACTTTTCGAAAAAAAATGTTTATACAGTTTAAAAATATTATAATTTTTTATTTTCAATTATTTAATTTCACTTTACAATAATTTAAATAAAATTTGTTTATTTATTAAACAATCATTAGAATTTGTTAAAGTGTTTTGCATAACTTTAATAAAACGTTTTAAAAGATAGATTTTAAAGAAATTTTTTCTTTTAAACATTTACGTTTTAAAATATAAATTTATTATTAATTAAAAATGTAATGAAAAGTAATTTTTACTTTGAGTTTGAGTTTTTTTTAAAGCTTATATTTTTTAAAGCTTATATTTTTTAAAGCTTATATATTTTTTTATTTGTAAGGAATTGTTTTTTTTCTGTAGTGTTTTTGATTTTTTTTTTGATTTTTTCAAGTTTAGCACTTTTTTTTAGCACATTTCTGAAATGCTTAAATCATTCAAAATAAGATTCAACATCTATAGAAAAAGTCATTGGCGTGATAATATTAAAAATAAGATTCAACATCTATAGAAAAAGTCATTGGCGTGATAATATTAAAAATAAGATTCAACATCTATAGAAAAAGTCATTGGCGTGATAATATTAAAAATAAGACTCGACATCTATAGAAAAAGTCATAATGGCGTGATAATAATAATGTTATGTTAATAGTTATATTATATTATATATTAAACATTATATTAAATTTACCAGATTAAAATTTTTCCAAAAAAAATAAAACTTACTGCAGAAAAGAAATTATGTTTCTGACCCTCTTATAATTAACATATCTTTCAAATTATAACATATTTTTTTGACAACTTACCACACTCGTGGTCAAATTGTCAAAAAAAAAAAAAAAAAACATTTGTGTGGCCAGTGATAGCATTCAATCGCACGCCATTCCTGTCCAAACCTGTTAAATCAAACTTACAAACAAAACAAATAGTGAAAAATAAATTTTAAAAATTGCAAAAGATAAAAAGAAAAAAAAAAGAAAAACTCCATAGATAAAAACAATAAAGATAAAATCAATACCTGATTTATTAAATAGATAACTTTGCATAAAATATGAATGCATTTTCGTGTGTTGATCGGTGTTTCATTAAAAACTCGAGACTAATAAATAAACAAATAACTTGATACAGTGATACACATTTGATACATGATTCAATTCTGTAGATAGAGAAACTGTAACACTTATTTGTAGCAACAAAGAAATTTAAACATCAAAATATATAATAATAAATACATTCCTGTGCAGTTAAGTGTGCATGTCTTAACATGTTTTAAGCACTTTAAATTTTGTTCATAGTTATATTTAAAAGATTTGCTTTCCTTGCTATTCTTTATTAGAATTATAAAACACATTTATATATATATTTTTTAATTTTAATTTTATTTTTCTGGATTTAAAGTTATTTTATATAAAAAAAAAAATGTGTCAATCAAAAGATATCCAATCAATTGACCAATTAAAGATGTTTGTGCAACGAAATCAACACACCGTGAGTACTTTTTGCATTATCAGTTTCTTAACACAATTCTTTATTCTTGATAAATTGTTATTCCATAACTGATATTTTATAAATATTGTATTATTTTAAAAAACCATTAGTATTCAAGCCAGAACACATCTATATTCTGTCACTTTCATATTTATTTATAATGTATACAACTAGTGAATTTTTATAAGCTTTGTATGGTTATAGTAAAATTAATTAATAAACCAATTTTTTATTCAATTTGAATAAAAAAAACAATTTTAATAAAAAATAGGTGTATCATTTAAGGACAGATTAAAGACCTAAGGGGTCGGGTACAAAAATTATTTGGGGGCCCCATTCCTAAAAAATTATATCTAAAAATGAATGCAGAAAAAATTAAATTATTTTTTTTAAATTACAAATGTCAATTAAAAAATCTTTAAAATGTATATTTTGCAATAGAATTATTTTGAATTGTCATTGAAAAAACAACATTTAAATGACCATTTAACATTGATGAATGGAGATCATTCCTAACTTGACATTTTCAAAAATGCTCTCTCTGCAATATAATTGGTAATGGGAGGGGTTTAAAAAATCTGATATGCTATGTCAACATTCATTGGAAAAACTGATTCTAACTTATTCCTACGAATTTCTTGCCAACATCCTTGTGCTGATATGATCTTCTTATATGCCATTAACTATACATAGATTTGACAGCAGCAACAATGACAGGAACGTTCATGGTCAAAAAACTAAAATTTTTCTCTGCAGACTCCTAAACAAAAAGCCTTTCTTTCAAATACATTTTCAACTTGTCTTTGATGATAAAAAAATTAAATGTTTAATGTCACTACTATTTAATACTACTTCACTTTCTCTATTCTTACTGACTTTACTAATATACTAAAAAAAACCTTTAATTTCTTGAATTTTAATGCTTGTACTGCTTTGGAATAATGCTATTAACAGCTTGATAATGCTTCAGTTACGCTCTTTACTTTTTAAATTTAAGTTATAACATAACTTAAATTAAACTCTTTCAGCCTTTTAATCAATTTAAAAAAATATGTAAATTATATTAAAAATGTTTAAAGTCAATATATAATTATGAAAAAAAAAAAAAAGTTTTTTTTTTAACTGTTTTAATTAACATGCAAACCTTCTTATTTTGTTCAGCCTTATTATTTTATATATAAAAAGGCTATGCATTATATACATTTTTATGCCCTTTCAATAATGGTACTGATATCCCAATAAATCCACAACTGCAGCAGCATATATGTTTATAAAATTGTTGACACCTGCTGGGACCCCATTTTAAGAAAGCCATAAAAAATTATAGTATAATATTTATATGTAACTTAACATCGAATCAAAGCATTTTCTGTTGATTTTCAGACCAATGTTTTTATATGGTTCTTAATCAGCATGAAACTCTTTAATGTTATCAGTATTAAAAATAGGGGAGTAGAGATGTAAATTAAGGCCTTCTTTGAATTGCTTTTTGAATTGCCTTGGTACATAAGGGTTATACCCTAATTGGATGATATATCTAAAAAGCAAGATATAACATTGATATCAATGTCAGATTGATTCAGCCACATGGGCACAGCTGCGTATTTTTTTTAACATCAACTTTCAATTGACGCTCTAATTCTCATAAAATTCATCATAACCTGTAATAAAAATAGAGTGGTAGAGATGATAAATTAGCGCCTTCAAAGTACATAAGTGCATGACATTTTTGTAAATCAAAACTTGGTGTTTATTTTTGTATATAATATAACAAAAAAATATGAAGTGTGTAAAGTGTATTTTGTTATTTACCTCTTGAAGAACTGTACTTTTATCCAAATTTTGAAAAGGATTTAACAAACCTATAACATTATATTTAGAAATTTAAAAATTGTTTAATATTTTTAAATATCATAACAACTAACAATAGTATTAATAATACAATTTCCTTGCTAACAATAACATTAATAATATAATTGTAGCAATAATGTTAATGATATAATTTGAAAAAATTATAAATTTTTGCTGAAAAAGTAAACTATATATATTATAAAATAAATAGTATAAAAGATACTTTCTAAGTTATTTATGAAGATTTACCTCCCTCTTCGTCTTTTTTTTCTTTTTTTAACATGTTCTTATCTGAAAACTATAGACTAATGGATAACTACAGTTGAAAGTAAAACTTAACTTCCTTTTAACTATTTGAAAATTTTCTCAGTTAACAGCCCGCATACGTGTCATTTAGTTATCCCGGACATATTGTGCTAAAAAACCGTCGTAAAAAACATGTTACAGTTACCAGTATTCAAGAATACAAATATTAAAATAGGCAGAATACCTATAATACCCATATAAAAATAAAAATAAATACTATTTATCATGTAGTGCATATTACATACATTACACATATTATAAGAATGCATAATACAGTGGCGGATTAAGACTTCTTAGGGCCCGGGGCTGTTTTTGTTTTTGGAGGCCTTTTTATGTGCCAGAGCCTAAAAATGACATGACTTAAAAAAAAAAAAAAATTTTTTTGGGGCCCCTAAATTTGCGGGGCCCGGGGATATAGTCCCTCTTAGCCCCCCCCTCCCTTGATCCGGCACTGACATAACATGAATTTCATTATGACTATGATTTATCTTGTTTGATGTAAAACGGTTTTTTACTTTATTATTTCCGGGTTAACTAAAAGGGAGTGTTAGGTTGACCAACAAAATAAAGGGAGACACATCTTCACCTATTCCATTAAAAAATCTATGTGAGTTAGGTGAGGACAATGATGACTATCATTGTTCTTTCTTATACCTCATACTTTTTTTCTTCCACTCCATCACTACCTCGGCACACGGCCTGGTAGTGAAGGAGTGGAACTCAGTAATAATATTTCTGCTGTAAATTTTATAACTAAATATGTTACAAATTTGTTTAAGCAAAATGTGCTGAAGCTAAAAAATCTGTTATATTTGTGCAAATAAAACTTTATTACAAAAATACAATTAAAGATATACTGCTGCTACGGCAGCAGTATATTTTCAACTATCTTCAGTATCTTTCCACTACTGATAACGTTCTTAAAAATTTTAAAAATATTAAAACTGATTTAGTGTAGAAAACTTTAGAGTTCTAATCAGGAAAAAATTGAACTATTTTGCTAATACCATAATTGCAAATTATAAGATAAATTTATATTGTCACTTACATTTTTAAATCCGATTGCATTAAACACGAATCCGTAAATTCTACGGTTATATAATTAAAGTTGTGCTGTTTAAAGATTATCAACACCTGATTAGATTTATATTTAAAAAATGACATGAAAAAAGCTTTAAAATGATCGTACTTGTGCCTTTTAATAGGGATTACTTTCAAGACCTGTTTAACAAGAAAAATATAGGCATTATTAGGGCTCCTTTAGGACAAAAGTGATTTTTTTAAATTTTATTGTTGTTTAACAATAAATTTTTTTCCACTAAAATGTCTTACATATCATCGGAGTTGATACAACCAAATCGAGCCATCTCAATATTTGTTTTGAAATTGAAGAATTACTTGACAAGACATGTAATAATACCCTTGCATACACAAACCATCCGATAACCACAAATTACCTCGAATCAATAGAAGAAACTCAAACAGATTCTCATTTGCTATAAATACCGCAATCACTACTACCTATCAGCAATCCTTTGTTCAAAAACATCTACGTATTCTTTGTGATGGTGTCAGTGACTTCTACCTTACACAAAACATTGGCAGCTCCGCTGCTTTTTCAACACATAAATGATCAGTTCTTTTTTCTGTGTTTTTAGCCTACTTCACTCATCATTAAACAATAGATAAAATTGTACAATTCATTATTTGTAATGCTAATCAACTTTAAATAAAGATTTATAATATATATATATATATATATATATATATATATATATATATATATATATATATATATATATATATATATATATATATATATATATATATATATATATATATATATATATATATATATATAAAGAAAGAAAAAAATATGTCCGTCGAACAAAGGCGACACTAAAATCTTGTCAACAAGCACCGTTATTGTATATAACACTTTTTTTTTTTTTTCAAAATGATCTTTATAAAATAAAGAATTATACAGACAAGGGCTCAAAGAAAATGAAAATGGCAATGCGTCATCGCAATCTTTTCATAAAGCGCTTTTGTTAAAATCATAATAAATATCAAAAAGCGCTATGGATAATAAAAACGATATATATATATCGTTTATATAATATATATATCACGGTCGTTTAGATGTGGAAAGTTATGATACGCAAGCGCAGTGTCAAATTCAAATATTATAATTTTAAAGATGGTGACGGCCTTTAGATACCAAAATTTTTTCTGAGTAGCAACAATATTTTAAAAGTTTTACTTAGTAGTTATTATTTGCATATTTTTGATAGAATGAAATAATAATAAAGATAATTGAATTGTTGATTCAAAAATGATAAAAACAATATAAAGATGTTTAAATATATAAAAAACTGTGATTCTCTGCTACATTTATCTGACTGTTAAAAGCGTGATTTGTTTACATTTTCAAAACTGTTTTTCTAAAAATCTGAGCGATACAATTTAATAATTTTTGCTTTTTTATTTCGAATAGTCTTATCTTGATTTGAAATTGTTTTCAGATCTGAGTATTCAGTTTTTTTTGTGAACAAAAATAGAATTCACCCAACACTACTTTTCGTAGATGTATGATACATTTATATTAAGGTATATAGCTAATATATATATATATATATAATATATATATATATATATATATATATATATATATATATATATATATATATATATATATATATATATATATATATATAATTAATAAGTATCGTGTTTTTTATTTAATAGACAAGTTGTTACCATAAAATTTCATTTGTATCCCTAGTTATATGTAACTTTATAACATCAACTATATTTTTTTAAATTTTTTTTGTTCGTTAAAAATTAATGCTTACTGCTTTATTTTTAAAATTAATGTAATATTTTTTTTAATAATTTAATTTGATTTTCATTAGCATTTATTAACTCTAAATTTCTAATTTTGAAATAGTACTGATGAAAACACAAATAAATTAGATATTGAAAAAGCCTCATAACGAGTGAAGTAATACAGCATGAAACTCCAAAATCATGGTTGAGATTCTCTGAAAAAACATGTTACAAAATTTTTATTTAAAACCAAGTACTATCTCCTCGTCAAATAGCCAATAAGTTAAGTATTGAATATTCACATATTTGAAAACCTTATACTGAAACAGATGACATTATGGATCTGGATAATCTGGTGGGCAACACAATGAGATAAACGTTTTTAATTAATAAAATTAAATTACTTGATGAAACACGACAGCAAGTGGTGAAATGCTATATTCTCAGGCATAATGAATGTTGAGGTAGATGTTCTGCTATGGCGATCACCTCAAGAGTAATTTGATTTGAATTGTACATGAAAACCAACCAAGCAAGGTAATGGCAGTGTAGACTTTTGGGCCTACATGAATTATGCAGGACTTAAATGCTATTAATTATTTGAAGGTTGACTTAATGCTAATAGAAACATTGAAATTTTAGATAATTGCCTTTTTCAATCCTTATTTAAGAAAGGTGGATCTGCAAAATATTGAAATGCTTTTTTTATGGTTTTTCTTTGGTAAATTATTGTTTTAATATATTATTTGAAATATATACTTAACTTTAGTCCGATTGTTTTTTTAACTTAAGATAAAATGTTTAATTATTATTATTTTTTTTGGTATCTAAATCAATATGTTTAGATCTTTTTTTGGATTTTCATAATGCATATAGATTTTACTAGTATTAAAAAAATAAAAGCATTTTAGTTTTCGATTTAGTTTATTTTGAATTTAATGTTTTATAAAAAAATCGTGACAAAAACAATGTGTGCTCTAATTTAAGGCCTAAAAAATCTTACCTACCTCAAAAAACTAATTTAATATCATGTCGTGGATATATATATATATATATATATATATATATATATATATATATATATATATATATATATATATAATATTAGGCCCCTGCAAAGCCTAAATATTTTGAATCAAATCAAATAAGTGATTCAAGACTTGACTTAAAAAATCTCTATTTATTTGAATCAAATCAACCTGCTTTTATTAATAGTTTATAATGAAATTAGCTCAAGGTCATATCATTATAAATTTTCACAATCTTGAGTAATAACATTATTAGAATGTTATTACTCTAATAACATGAAGTTGTCTTAGAAATTTCTAGATACATTAAAATTTTTTTTTTTTTTAACTAAATTTAATTATGGTCATGCTTTGGTCAATTCTAAATGTTTTGCAAAAAATTTCATGAATTGTTAACAAAAATTCCCCTTCAAGCTAACTGCCTCTGCCAAAACATGATGACAATGACTTGATAAAATGCTTAGTTTCTCTATCTAATACTAAATAAACCTTCAGTTTTTCAATTTAATTTATTTGTATTATTGTGCCTAAAAGTTATGACCATATAAAATTAACAGCCCCCTCGATTTGATCAAACTTTGCTCATTTAAATACTAAAAAAATATTATAAGGTATTTTATTAATTATTTTAGCAATAAATAGTTATGTATATATTTTAGCAATAAATAGTTATGTATAGCAATATATAGTTATGTATATATATATATACATATATATATATATATATATATATATATATATATATATATATATATATATATATATATATATATATATATATATATATATATATATTTTATATATATATATATATATATATATATATATATATATATATAAAAGATATGTTAGTGTATTTTAAAAATAGAGTGCTATAACAGAGACAAAATTAGATGTATTTTTGCTAATTTATTAAAATTAACAAAAACACATCTAATTTTGTCTTTGACAGGCAGGCAGGATTGTTTTTATTAATACATACATACATAATATATGTATGTATATTTTAATAATTATTTTAGCACATATTACATACATATTTAAATATGTATGTAATATATGCATGGATGCAATATAGGTATTTGCAGTTATTGTGGTTAAAAAGTCAATGGAGAGGTAAACAAATAAAAAACAAAACAAATTTCTACATTCTATAAAAAAATAGTTTAAACACTCCTAGTCATAACTAAAGAATATATATATATATATATATATATATATATATATATATATATATATATTATATATATATA